ATGTATGTATGTATGGTTGTAGTATGTATTTACGTATGTACGTATACATGATGTGTATATATAATACATACATATAAATACACATATATGTGTATATGCATATATAAAACCTGCCACTGAAAGTGCCCAAGCTCAAAATACAAAAATCGCAAACCCTCAACCCCTAAACCCCTNNTAAACCCCTAAACACCTCAACCCTAAACCCCTCAACCCTAAACTCCTAAACCCCTCAACCCTAAACCCCTCAACCCTAAACCCCTAAACCCCTCAAGCCTAAACCCCTGAACCCGAAACGCGACGGCGCAGCTGAGGCCGGGGCTAACGTCCCTTCTTTCCTCCAGAGAAGCCTTTGGAAGCCGGGGTTCGAGGCTCATGGGGGGTTGAGTTTAGGGTTTAGGGTTTAGGGTTCATGGGGGGTTTAGGGCTGTGGGGCTTTGGGATTAGGGTCTACTACTACTGGGATTCAGGGTTCATGGTTTAGGGCTCTGGGGCTTTGGGATTAGGGTCTACTACTACTGGGGTTCAGGGTTCATGGAGTAGGGCTTGGAGGTTTTGGGATTAGGGTCTAGTACTACTGGGGTTCAGGGTTCATGGAGTAGGGTTTGGGGCTTTTGGGATTAGGGTTTACTACCACTGGGGTTCAGGGTTCATGGAGTGGGGCTTCTGGGATTAGGGTCTACTGCTTCTCCTGGTCTGTCTAGGGTTTCGTGGGCATATAGGGTTACTATAGGATTCTAGTGTGGTACTACAGTTACAGGTGAGTTTGATCCCGGTTTGCAGGATTGTATAGGGTTTTATCGGGCATTGTAGGGTTCTGCTGGGTTCTAAACCCCTTTAAACCCCAAACCCTAAACCTGTGGTTCTAAACCCCTCTAAACCCTAAACCCGTGGTTCTAAACCCCTCAACCCATGGTTCTATCATGGTTTGGGGCTCGTATTTTTTTTGGGTTTGGCTTTGGGACGTGTGGGGAACCGAATACCACAGTTAACTGGGGCCAAGGATGGGAGGGGATTAATCAGAACCTTGGGCCCTTAACTCTAAACCCCAATACTAAAACATGTCTCCTACACTGTAGCTTTGTAGCATCATGTTTTGGATAGGCTGTGGTAAGGTTAGGATCCTACAATAAGGATAAGCTACTAAGAAAAGAAAGGTGACAATTACAACTCAATGTGCTATGCAAGACCGATGAACCCTGCACCCTAAACTCTAGAACCCCGAAACCCTAAAGCCTAAACCCTGAAGCTTGCAAGCTCTCCAGCCTAACCTCCCCTATACCCCTATCGCCTATCGCTTAAAGCCCCCATATCCTGTATCCTGAACCTTTATGCCCTGTATCCTCCCTACCCGCCACGCTAAACCCGGAAGGCCAACCCCTAAACCCAGCCCTAAACCCTAAACCCTAAACCCTAAAACCCAAACCCAGACGTCCCTGAGTCAGTTGAATCATACAACCTTGATAATGTAGAAGCCTTAATAATTAGAATAGGGTCTTGGGGCCCATTATACTATCAGAATAATAAGGATCCACCGAAATAGTATTGGTAATTATTTAGGCTCCTATATCAGACACTTGCGTATGTACCAACTAATCAGGCCGAAGCCACGTTGGAAAAATGCCAGGATTCGGAGCGGAACTCAAGGCAGTAAAGGAAGTAAATCGAAGGAAATCCCAATGGCACCATAGCCGAAATCTGCTGACGCTGCCACGTGGTTCTTGTTTAGGGTTTGCAAGAACCCACATCCGACACCCTTGGCTCGCAGGACCCTGGCACAACCCTGCTCAAATACCTAACCCTAAGGGTCCAAG